GTAGTTCTAACAAAAAAGCTCTACAACCAACCAAAGTAAACAGCTACTGTAGGACTTATCCATTTAAAAATGTTAGCTTGTTATCATAATTTGTACAGTACTGTATATCTAATCATGCCATATTTAGTCCAAAGTTGGGAAAGTGGCTGCATTTATACTGGGTTGAACTCTGTTCTCATGGGAGTACACGGAAAGACGTAGGGATGAACAAGGAATTTATTTTAGCTGGGAAACTGCACCATGTGACATGGTAGTGAGTGACATTATTTAAATCAAAGGCGAAAAAAGGCATCTTTGTAATATTTTAATATTGTCTCATTTTAAGACAATGGAATAGGAGTACTATACATTTTTAGTATTAATCAGTGATTTATTTGATTAGAGAACGTCTCAGTCATTAAAAGATTCTAATACATGTTTGCCAAAACAGAACGATTCAGGATGATTTTAATAATTTTAATTGGTTTAATTTGGTAAGTGTACTTCTGTTCTTGTTAGTTTGCAGTTTTGCTGATGTTACCTCTTTTATCCACAAAATTAAAATGATCCTATCAATGATCACAGCTAAAGTCAATTGATAATGTTTATATTTTCTGAACAAAATGTGAGTGGTGCTTGCCGTTGCTAATACAGGTGCATCTTAATAAATTAGAATGTCGTGGAAAAGTTAATTTATTTCAGTAATTCAACTCAAATTGTGAAACTCGTGTATTAAAGTAGACTGAAGTAGTTTAAGTCTTTGGTTCTTTTAATTGTGATGATTTTGGCTCACATTTAACAAAAACCCACCAATTCACTATCTCAACAAATTAGAATACTTCATAAGACCAATAAAAAAAACATTTGTAGTGAATTGTTGGCCTTCTGGAAAGTATGTTCATTTACTGTACATGTACTCAATACTTGGTAGGGCTCCTTTTGCTTTAATTACTGCCTCAATTCGGCGTGGCATGGAGGTGATCAGTTTGTGGCACTGCTGAGGTGGTATGGAAGCCCAGGTTTCTTTGACAGTGGCCTTCAGCTCATCTGCATTTTTTGGTCTCTTGTTTCTCATTTTCCTCTTGACAATACCCCATAGATTCTCTATGGGGTTCAGGTCTGGTGAGTTTGCTAGGTGTTTTGAGTTGATTAGCTGATTGGCATGTCACCATATTCTAATTTGTTGAGATTGTGAATTGGTGGGTTTTTGTTAAATGTGAGCCAAAATCATCACAATTAAAAGAACCAAAGACTTAAACTACTTCAGTCTGTGTGCATTGAATTTATTTAATACATGAGTTTCACAATTTGAGTTGAATTACTGAAATAAATGAACTTTTCCACGACATTCTAATTTATTGAGATGCACCTGTATTTCCAGCAATATGCCAGCGTGTCGCTAAGGTAGTTTGAATGTTTTTAGTGTATGTCACTACATTAGCACCTTGCTAGGTATTGAAATGAATGAAATGACTGAAATGTGATGTCAGACAAAGACAATTTAACTCTCCTAAATCACAGACGTCAGTTTGGTTTAGTATATAGACTAGGCCACATCCATGGGTTCTTGTTTTTTTTTTAGAGTTGCTGTGGCCTGTGCCAAAGATGCCAGCATTAGAGAGGGGAAGGAATCAAGCTGAATTTCTCAGCGTGTAGAGCAGGTAGGAGTGCTGCTGTCTGCTCTGATGCTGAAGTTCTGGAGATGTCCCCAGAGCTCCATGAAGCAGAGCAGGAGAGGAGCGGCTGTGCCTGAGGCTGGGTGAATGAGTAGGCTGGAATGTTTGCTGTCATGTTTTACTTCCAGGTCACCTGGCTCAATGCAGAAAAGCGGGAAGGATTGGAATAATTTACTGTTATCCCTTATGTATTACTGCTTCTCTTGCTTTTGATATTCAGTGGAATGTCAGTCTCCTGCCTTTTATCTGCCTGGAATCAAGTGAAAATTTAATGTGTGGTAAGAAACAACTTTATGTAAAAGCTGTGCAGCTGGGTTCGAATTAAGCTGTGTAGAAAATACTAATGTACCCTTTTATCATGGCCTCTGTGTTCTGCCATAAGCTAATGATTTACTGTTGTAAAATAGAGCGGGTGTTTCAAGTCCGATCCATGGAGGCCCCACCTCGCAACTTACAGGACTTGAAGGATCTGCTGCTAATATCTTGGTGCCAGATACCACAGCACACCTTCAGGGGTCTAGTGGAGTCCACGCCTCGACGTGTCAGGGCTGTTTTGGCAGCAAAAGGTGGACCAACACAATATTAGGAAGGTGGTCATAATGTTATGCCTGATTGGTGTATATAATGTAATAAGTATGTATCTAAATGCACATTGCAATTACATCTGTTTATATGATACAACTGATACATGCCCTGCAAAAAATGTAGGGGAATTGACTCGCACTGCTATGTACAAGCAAAAGTATGCACTGTATTTTCATTTCAAAATGATTTCCTCCATGTGATTCCTGGGAGAGAACGTTATTATGTAATAAATGCGCAGTCAGGCTTCAAGAGATGTTTGATTCCATAGTACAGCTTCCAATTCTTACACACTGTAAAACCAACACTCTGTTCTAGGTCAACACTCTGACAAAGACATAGCATCAAAAGCTTCTATTTCAAAGCAATGTCTTTCCACATCCTTATTCCAAATCCTTATAACTTTCTTAACACATAAAGTATTATTTTTCCGACACTGATCACATTTACATTAAGAAAATTACAATAGGTTGGGTTCAAACTATTTTTTAACCAAAAAACACTAACAAAAACACTTTGATGGATGAAAGAAAGAGGGGTGTCACAGTAATTGCCACAGATGGAAACACCATAATCATAAAGCACATTAAGGCATTTTTCAGAACATGACAGACACACATAGAGTATATCTGACTAGGCCTATGCTCTACTGTGATGGACTGTGCCTATGGCCTGAGATGCTAGGAGAGGCTCCATCATCCCCCGACCCCATATATGACAAACAGTTTGGGGAATGGATAGATGCTCTTTTTTGTTGATTATGAGATGATGAATTAGCATTTATCTCCATAATGACTAGGTCTAATTATGGAAAGGTTTTTTTTTTGGCCCTGGCTGATCCATTGAACTGGACTTATTTTTCTTTCTTTTTTTTTTTTTTTTTAAATCACTGGGCGCTACAGTAGCCTTAAGGGAAGGTCTATTCATACATTAAGCAACTCATGAAGAAGGAAATCTTCCCCAAGTGTGTTATGTAACTGTGATAATGTCAATGAAATAAGAAAGACAACATGATGGCCACTGTTCGCTGTTCTCACATGAGACATGAATTAGCCTGTAGTTATTTTTAATATATATGATTAAAATAACTTATTAATCAGTTATTTTAGGACATTAGCATTTTCAGGGGCAGATTTATTTATTTATTTTTCCGTATAAAGGCCATTATTAATGATTATACCAGACAATTCTTCTTGCACAATAAAATAATTTTTTCCAAAATTAATGTATATTTATTTATTTGTTATAGTAATTATTTGGCCTTTAGAGTCCCTGTTATGTGTTGATTTTATTTATATTTATTTTTCAAACACACTAAAAACATGTAGTGAAAAACACCATTCCACAAAAAAAAAAGGATTACATTAAAAAAACGTGTTTTTTAAAGGGGTCATATGATGCAATTTCAATTTTTCCTTTCTCTTTAGAGTGTTACAAGCTCTTGGTGCATAAAGAAGATCTGTAAAGTTGCAAAGACTAAAGTCTCAAATCCAAAGAGATATTCTTTATAAAAGTTAAGAGTCAACCACGCCTACCTAAAACGGCTCGTTCTAACACGCCCCGACATGTCTACATCACTGTATGGGAAGATTTGCATAATGCCGCCCAAATGTTCACGCAAAGAAAGAAGGCGTAACTTTTATTCTCGCTGTAGTATTGTTGTTGCCGCCGCTGCCATGTCGTGAAGGCGCTGTGTTTTTCGTTGTGAAAGCGAAACTACTTTGTTTGGCCTTCCAAAAGAGGACGATATCCGCTTCGTCATGCCTAGAGCTGATCCGTGCTGGTCGCTGAGGAAATACATCAACTT